GATTATCACAGTGCTGCTGTCTGGCCCGAGAATCTCTGAATGAATCTGTTTTTAATGAGCCTGCTCCCGGGGAACGCTGACGCTGGGTCATCAAGAATGCATCACAGCACCAAAGCCGGATGCACAAACACAGCACTATGCCTTCCTATGCCACAGGCTGAGCAGAGGGGGCACCGAAAGCTGTGAGTGGGGCAAAGGGGATTCAGCTCCGAAAGTGACCAGATACTGACTCTTAAACAGAAGGTGTCTTTCTCCTTTGTCCCTGTGCAGAAGTCCTTGCTCAGTGATCTATAAGTCACTCGCTTCATTAATACCATGATGTGCAAGGCTACACAAACACACACACGCAAACAGTTCCAGCTACAGACTGCAAATCTTGAAATTAGCCCTAGGCCCCCAGAGGAAAACATAAAATCTCAGCTGTGGAGCACACCTGTCACCCAGAAAGATCCCCAAATGCCTTACTAACACAGGGCCCAACCCTGCTTCCACCACCATCAATGGCAAAACTCCCACTGACTACAGCAAGGGGAGGATCTTGTGATATGTACTATACAAAACAAAAACCAAAAAAGTGCAACTAACATGGGGATTTTGACCAGAGCCAGAGCACCTTGCCAGAGAGTTGGAATTAAGCCTGAACCGGTGTGTATTTCTAACAGTTCACTGCTCCTGGCTGGGTTGCTACCCACACAGAGGAAAAGTCCTCTTGCCCCCAAGGGAGTCTTCCCAGCCCAGCTTCACCGTTGCAAGGGAAGGAATGCATGGCTGAAACCATCCCTGTCCCCCCTGTTTCTGGCCCTCCTGAGAGGTGATGCTTCAAGGGAAGAGACACCCAGCAGCCTGAACGTGAATTAGTTTGGGGGTCACGCTCCCGTCTCTCCCACCAGTCGCTTCCAGAAGAGGCAGAGGAGAAGCAGTTAGAGTAGAAAACGGGGCACCAGGACTCCTGGGACTGTTCCAAAAACTCTGCCAGTGACTCTCGAGGGGCCCCTGGCAAGACTCCTCCAGCCAAAGCACCAGAAGCTGCCTCTGATTTGGAAGCTCAGCTGCAGGCACCATGGCCTGGTTTTTGTGGAGCTTGGGCACCCGCAGAGCCACATTATTCCCAGTGCAGCGGTGGGGGAAGAAAGCCAGGGCCACGTCATCTCACGCTGGGCACCCAAAATAAACAAGGCCCCAGATATCAACAGCCCCTTCCGAGCGCTGCTCTTAGCACCTCTGGTTCCACCAGCGCCTGCTGCGTCCTGTCCCCGGGAGCTGGGCGCTCCACCAAGTCTGGTGACGGGAAGGAAATAACACGCGCCACCCAACGTCCGTCCGTGCAGCTGGCTGGGGGGGGTGCTTGTCCAGGGCAGATCAGGACCAAGTCAGCATGAAAGGAAGGACCAGAAACCACTGGCCTGGTCTGTTCTGCCCTGGTGAGTCCAAAGACCAAGGACCATTATCACAGCCTCCGCCTCAGCCCGCTACAGAGCTCTACCCAAGGGCTGCTTGGGATGGGAGAGGGAGATAGGAACACGAACTTGGCTTAAGGCCAAATTCAAGGCAGACGAGGTGGCATGGTCTGGGTTTGGAAAGGGGCACGCTCTCCAAGCGCAGGGAGAGGCTGCACCGTTCAGCAGAAAAGGTTCTTCCACCCCTGGGGATGTGAACAGAGAGAACCCGGACTAGGCCAGAGTGAGAGAGCCGCCCGTCCCAGTCACCACCCAAGTCACACCACCCTGAAAGAGCAGCATGACCGAGACAACACAGACGGAAGCAGGGAATTTCCAGGTCCTGGTTAAATCAAGGTCCCAGCCCTGTCTGCCTCATGATTCCCAGATTCTTGAGAAAGGCACCCATTCCTCTAGTTGATTTGCTGCCTGGTTCGTGGAGAAATTTTAAATGACAATTAGCTGTCATTATCCTAATGTGATAATTCCCACTGTCTTGCCCATTATATGTCGGCCTTCTTCCAGGGAAAGGCAAGCACAGAAATTTGATGGGGAAGGGGTGTCAGAAGTAATTGTCTTGAACGACTGTACAAGCAGCAGCAGGAAAAACACATCGGATGGAGTATTCCCACCAGGAAGCTTGAAAAAAATCCAGAAGAATGCAGAGTGTTTCTGAAAGTAATTGCTAGAATAATCATTGGTGTGTGTGACAAAGGAGAAGGGCAGCACCGTGGGGAATCAGGGCACAGCTCCCTTAATCCTTCAGCCATTAAACTAACTGGCTTATTGATGTAAGACACTAACATTTGCAGCTGATGCAAAGAAGAACGCTGGATTCTCATGCTCTGGAATGCACGCTGTTTACCAACTGGCTCTTTTCCTTCCCGGCTCCGTGCACACAGACAGACTGGGAAGAACGCACGTTTGAAAGCCGATGGCACCAGCCTTGCGTGCAAACAGTCTGCAATGGGGGGCATGAATAATTGAAGGAACTAGCTGAGGAAGAGCGAGGCCGTGCTGTTTGTGGAGGAGTGACAGGGACGTACAATGCAGTAGCAGCTCCCTGCTGGGGGTGCCAGGGCGGGCTTCCGCACAAAGATAGCTCAAAGCAAACCCTTTGTGATGAGGGCATGGGGAGGGAGTTTGAATGAGATTTTATCAGAACAGCCTCTTTCAGCCAGGTGGGCTGGGATCACGTTGCTCAGGCTCGCAACCAAGAGGAGGATGGGGGGACTAAATATACCCACATACCCCAGTAAAGGAAGAGCCCAGAGGATGGGGGGACTAAATATACCCACATACCCCAGTAAAGGAAGACGTATTGTGTGCATTACCATTGCTCCTGGGAGCCCTAGTCACGGACCATCCATAACAAACCTCTCAGAAGCCTGGTGAGTGCATGGCGTATTTGCATCCCGACGCCCAGCTGATGCCTTTGGGGACAGGTTTAAAATACTGCATCCCCTAGAGCACATGTTCTGGTTCAAACGCTCAGCTGCAGCCAGGGGCACTCAGGCTGCTGCTCCCTCCTCCAAAAGCCTCTTGTGCTTCCACTTAGGTCAGAGGTGGATGCACTTCTCGGAAGCCATGCCTCCCATTCCAGAGGCTACACGGCCCCGGCTTGCACCCACCGAAGTCAACAGGCACATGGAGGATTGGGCCCAGAATTAGGACATTTTGTGGAGTAACCAGTTTGACGTGCCCCCTGAATTGCTTAAGGCCTGGTTCCGGCCCTGCCCTGCAGAATCACTTGTTCACTTCAGGGAGGCTTCCAGGGCTCTTTTCTCCCCTCCCTCCCCCATCATCCTCTCCCGCTGCGTGGGGAAAGCTGTACCAGTGACTAATGAAATGATCAATCTCCAATCTGCTAAACAGCAATTTATCCAGGTTTGCAGCACACACCGGTTTTATCAAATTGGTATTCACCTGCTGAACACAAATGGCTTATTATACATGACCCACTTATTCACTGCATTTCAGGATCCTTAATAAAGGTTTCTGTTGTGATTAAGTGAGTTGCTGCGGAACTGCCCGTGGTACAAACCCTGTAACAAGGCTCCTAAATGCACTCAGCCACTCAGATCTTTTTCTTTACAGCAACCATTTCAGTACTTAGTTGTTTATTGCTGAATTTCAGCGGAGGTAATGGAGGCAGATCTCTGTCTCTAGCACCCCCTTCTCACAGCACCCAGGGAAGATCAGCAATTCCAGGAAATGCTCCTGGTCTTCCAGGCACTAGCAGGAATGACAGGTTACTCCTGAAGTATGACAACACATTGCTGTTCATCCCTATTCTAGACCGCAGGGCATGGTAACAATACACTCTGCACAGCAAGACAGTCATGGTACATGGCTCTTACATAGACTGGAGGTGCCTCAGGGCAGGGACCAGCTTTCACTCCAGGTTGCTGAGCACCCAGGACAATGGGGTCCCAGTTCTGACGGAGGCTCCAGGCACTGCCGGAAGACCAATAACTAAGAGAGGCTAACAGACGAGGCTACCACCACCTGACATGGCTGGATTTGTGAGCTCCTGGTTCTCCCCAGTGAAGGGTGAGGAAGGTAACCTACATCCAGCTCCCTGGCTCCAAAGGGGACAGGAGAAACCAGAAGCTAGTGTCTCCTTTCCTCCTTGTCCGGTGAGGGATGGGCTCCTGGTGGGAGCTGCCTGGGAAGTTCTCATGGAAACCAGACAATGAATGTGTGAAGCTGTTCACAGACAGGGCTCTCCCCCGCTCCAGCCAGCCCCAGCTACTGGAACCAGGCCAGGGGAGGTAGGGTTTCCGGGCCGCTGTGCTGGGCAATCAAGATGAAGCAACCTAGGGGGCTTTACAGAGGAGCGAGGACGGGGCACTGCCGTGGCTCCAGACCATTTGCCGGTGTCCGTGTGGACACACAGGGTGCCAGGTGGCCAAAGCTACATTTATAAGACTATGCAATCGGAAATGGCCTCTTTGCCCCCCGCCCCACCCTGACCCCGAGGCAGAGCTGCCAAGGGGCAGCAGGCTGAGCCCCGGAGAAGGGTCACGAACTTTTCCCCACTCATCTGCTGGCAGACCAGGGTCTCCCGCGAGCTCCTGCGCCGGCAGACCCAGGTCCCCGGGTTTCTCCGGGCGCCCCCGGCTGCTCCCGACCCACAGCGGGGCCTGGGGCGAGGGGCGCGCCCACAAACTTACAGCAAACCCGCTCCGGGACCCCGCCGGGGCTCGGCTCTGGCCGACTGGGCTGTGCCGGGTCCCTGCCCCGCCGGCTCCGCGCTCAGCCCGGGACAGGCTCATTCGCAGCGCGGAGCCCAGCGCCCCGGACCGGCTGCGGGGGCCCTGCCCGGGGCTCAGCGCGCAGCGGCACCTCCGGCCGCCCCCGGCTGCGCAGCACCCCCCTGCCCGCGCCCCGCGAGCCCCGGCGAGCCCAGCCGGCCGGTCTCTGCGCCCCCGCCCCGGGAGGAGAAGTTTCCAAAGCCCCGCGCTGCCCCCCGGAGGCTGCCCCCGCCCCGGCCTCCTCCCTGCGCTGCCCGGTCCCTGCCCCTGTCCGGTCTCTGCCCGGTCCCCGCCATGCCCGGCTCACCGTTGGCCGCGGGGGCCCGCGCCGGGGCGCCCAGATGGAGGTAGAGCCCCAGGTAGTGGAAAATCCCCAGGGTCACGCCCAGGGCCCCCATGGTGCTCGGGGCTCCGCCCGCCCGCCCGGTCACATCGGGCTCGGGCCCCTCCGCAGAGCCGTGGCCAGGGCGCGGTGCCGGGCTGCTCCCGCGCCGCTGCCGGAGACTGCGGGACTCTTCTCTGCCGCGGAAGGCTCCGCGCTCGGTGGCGGTGCCGCGGCTCGCCCAGAGCCTCCCCCCGCCGGCGGAGGGATCCGAGCGCTTGATTTAGCATCAAAGTTTTTTCCCAGGGTGTCAGCTGCCCGGCCGAGCCGAGCCGAGCCGAGCCGGGCCGGGTCCCAGCGGGGGGGCTCCAAGGCACGGGGGGGGGGGGCGTGGCCCAGCCCCGCTGGCCCGGGGAGTCCAGATTTACTCCCCCCCCCCGGCCAGGGGCTGCAGCGCCCCCCCCGTCCCGGCAGCTGGCCCGGGGGGGTCGGGGTGCGGAGCCCCCGCGCTGCGCCATGCACCGGCCGGGAGGGACCCCCGCGCCCGGCCCGGGTGTGGGTCCGGGGCTGCCCCAGCCATGGGGCCCCTTGCGCGTCTCCAGCCCCCGGCGGCGCCCGGAGCGGGGGGTCCCCGGGGCGCGCCCCCAGGCCGGGGAGCTTGGCGGGCGGCCCGGGTCCCCGCCGACCTGCCCCGCGCTCAGCACCAGGGACAGCGCCCGGCGCCCCCAGCGGCGCTCTGCGGGGCCAGCCCTGCCCCCGGCTCGCCGCCCTCCGCCCCGGGCTCGGAGCCCGCCGCCGTGCGTGGGAAGGGCCGGGGGCGCAGCTGGGGATGGGGCGCCCCGCGCAGCCCCGGGGCTCGTCCTGGGAATCCCGACTGCGCCACGCACCCCAGGGCCCGACCGGTCACCCCGGGCCCCGGCCGCTGGGCTCCGCCGGTGGCCTGGCACCGTCCTGGGGACCCGGCTTCTGCGCCCCAGCCCGCGGGCGTTAACGTGCGAGGAGGCCGGGCGCCCGGGCAGCCGGCCTCAGAGCGAAACCAGCCCGGCTCCGGAGCCCCATCTGGCCCGGGACTGGAGGGCAGCGAACCGGCGGTGCAACATCCTGGCCCCAGCCCAGGGACACACACCGGACCGGGGGTCACCCCAGGGCCCCGGATCCCCCCCATGGCCCCGGCTGCCGCGGCCCAGGAGCGGGCAGCCCACCGCTTCCCAGTTCACTGCCGGGGCGGGGCCTGGCCTCCCCCCTTCATTACCTGCTGTGAATGAGAAAGGGGCGCTGGGCCCGGATGAAATCCTGGGGCTCACCCCGCTCGCCCTCCCCTGCGCAGCATCCCACTGTCCCTAGGGCTTTCCAGGGAAATCACCCCAGAGACCCCAGTCCCAGCAGGCAGCTCGAGACTCTGCCCCTCCGGCCCGGGGCAGGAACAGGGACTGGACGATTTGGGGGCTCTGGCTTTGTACAACACTCTTCTGGAGTCTGGGCTTCTGGAGTCGCGGTGATGTTCTGAACTCTCTGCATGTGGGTGCGGGTGGCTGCCGGCGCTGGGGGCCTGCTTCTGAGCGGCCTGGGGGTGAAGACCAGCAACAGAAGGGCTGAGCAGGCCCTGCCCTCCCAGAACAAAGGGCGGCTGTCGCAGCTTCCCTAGGGGAGAGGGAAGACTGGACAGAGGTGTTCCTGCAGGCCTGTAAAAACGCAGACCTGGAGAAGTGAAAGGAGAGAGATGCCTCCTGAGCGAGGGGGACCCTTTGACTGCGGTGTCGTCCGAACTGGAGGAAGCTGTCTGGCTGTCCAGGTCAAAGGGGAGATTCTCGCCCCGGAGCTGGAAGAGTGAGGTCTAGGAGGGGGAGCTAGAAACCGGAGGGGACTCTGACCAAATCCCAGAGAACACTCAAAAGTGTTGAAGAAACCAAGGCAGGGACTGGAAGCATGGATTTATTGTTTTGCCTAGATGAATATAAATCCGAAGGTAGGGGGTGTAGAAAATTGATTGGGGAAGTAAAGGGACACAGAAAGCTGTGGCCTGCAGAGTTAAGGAATTCTTAAAGTATTTTAGGAACAAAAAGAATCCTAGCAATTATATTGGTGCATTACTAGAATTATCAATAATAATGCAGAAAAGGCAGATGTGTTCAATAAATATTTCCGTTCAGTATTGGGGGTGGGAGAAACAGATGATGTAGTTGTATAACAACACTGTTTCCATTCTACTAGTGTGATGAAGTGGGACTATTCTTAATGTTTCCTCTGAATAGTGTGGGGGTGCCTCAGTTTCCCCAATCAGCTCTTAAGTATCTAGGTGGTGGGATAAGGGTGTTTGGTCGTTGCAGAGCCCTAGAGGGCAAGTGTGTGCAAGGGTCTGGACACAGAGAATGGCTGACACCCTGTTTCCTGGCAACTGATGGCCTGGGCCCTTCCCCCCTGCAAGGTGAGAGCTAAAGGGTTGGAGAACAAAGGAATCCGGTGACCTCCTGGCCCGGGAAAGGGACAAAGCCCAGAGGAGGAGGGGCTGGAGGGAGTTTCAGTTTGGGGCTGGCTGGGACATGGAGTGAAGGGCAGACGTGGTTGTCTGGCTCACTGCCCCCCAAAATGGACCCAGCTGAGGGGTCCTGTTCTCTGCACCTACACGCTCTGTTTTAGACCATGTTCCTGTCGTCTAATAAACCTTCTGTTTTACTGGCTGGCTGAGAGTCACGTCTGACTGCGAAGTTGGGGGGCAGGACCCTCTGGCTTCCCCAGGAGCCCCGCCTGAGCGGACTCGCTGTGGGAAGCGCACGGAGGGGCAGAGGAGGCTGAATGCTCCGAGGTCAGACCCAGGAAGGGGGAAGCTGTGTGAGCTGGGTGTCCTGAAGACAGGCTGCTCACAGGAAGGCGACTGCCCCAGAGTCCTGCCTGGCTTCATGGGGAGCAGTTTCAGAGCATCGCCCAGGGACTCCGTGACAACTAACACCTCAGGGGGATCTTAAAGAGCAGATTTAAAATTTTTATTAATGCTAATGTTTAAAATCAAATTTACACGCATTAAGAAGGAAAGTACTGTACATCTGGAGTCAAAATCAGCAGGTCTGGCTAACTTGCACTCAGGGGGTTAGAATATTTTAATGAAAGAATGAGAAGGACTTGTAGTACCTTAGAGACTAACAAATTTATTAGAGCATAAGCTTTCGTGGGCTAAAACCCACTTCATCAGATGCATGGAGTGGAAAATACAGTAGGAAGATAGATATAAATATATATATACAGAGAACATGAAAAAATGGGGGTTGCTATAACAACCCTTAATGAGACCAATCGATTAAGGTGGGCTACTATCAGCAGGAGAGAAAAAAACTTTTGTAGTGATAATCAGGATGGCCTATTTCAAACAGTTGACAAGAAGGTGTGAGTAACAGTAGGGGGAAAATTAGCATGGGGACATAGTTTTTAGTTAGTGTAATGACTCATTTTTAATGTATTTTCATGTTGCAAGCAACGGGATTTGTGCTGCTCTCCTATGGACCAATTTGAATCACACAAACCTCCTTAGGAGGGGAAGTTCCCTGCATGTCCAGGTTAAATTTGTCTTTGCCCAGAATAATACACAATCCTAATGAGAACTCTTTGGACTATCCCAAGAAGAGCAACAGGCCTGCCTAGTTCTATGCACTGCTTTGCACCACGGTACCCAAGGCCCTCTCAGCATCATAGGCCTCAGGAAGCCATTCCAACCAGAAGCCCCAGCCCCCCAAACCTGCGGGCCTCAAGTCCCTATTTAGACTCCTAAATTAGGGTCCTGCTCCGTGGAGTCAGTGGGAAATGGTCAATTCTCAGCACTTTCAAACATTTGGTCACTTCCTTAAGGTGCCTACCGATGGATTTAGGAGCCTAATTTTAGGCACTTAGGGGTGAGAGGCTTGGCCAGAGGTTTTAGTTCCCTCTCTCAGCAGGGGTCTGCAGTCACCCCATCTCCACTCTCTCCCTTGTCCTTTAACAGCTGCTGGGGGGTTGGAGCCAAATCCTGCCCTGGTTGCTGCAGCAAGGAGAAGCAGAGAAGCAGCTCCGGTCACTCTCTCCCCGAGATCCTGCTGCCAGGACCCTGTGGATTCAGGGAGCGCTTTGTTGCTGCTCAAAATGGTGCAGCGTGTGCATCGCTACCCAGCGGTGCCGGAACAGGAGGGCCAGGGGGCAATGGCCCCTCCCACTTTTTACCGGCCATATGGGCGAGCGAATGGGGGGAGGGGTCTTGGGGGGAAGAGGTGGTGCAGGACCGTGGCTTCAGGGGAAGGGGCAGTCCAAGGGCAGGGCCTCACGGAGAAGGAGTGCTGCAGGGGCAGGGCCTTGGGGGCCATGGTGTCACAGGGATAGGGCCACAGTTCAGGCACCAGTGGGCCCCAAAGTTAGGGAACCTTCCTTTGGCCCTGGCTCTATCTGCAAACTCCGCATTTGCTGTTGATGGTAATATAAACACTAGTGCATGGGGTCTCAACCTGTTTTCCCATTTGCAAACCCCTTTGGAAATGTCAAGTGGAGGTGCGGCCCCCTCTGGAAATCTACTGTCGGTATATAGAGTTGAAGTCTGTTCAGTCAGTCTGCGGACTAAGTCTATCGTGGACCCCTTAGACATAGTCTGTGGCCCCCTGGCAGTCCACGGAGCACAGGTTGAGAACCACTGCTCTAATGCAGCAGGAGAACGAGATCTCCGGTCTCGAGCCCAAGGGTGAAAGAAAGTTGAGTGACTTACCAGGACGCTGGGGCCAGCTCTGGCCCCTGGAAGGAGCGGGGTTGAGGGGGTCAGAGCCAGCCCCAGACCACCCTGTAAGGCAAGTGCCCCCTCTCCCCCCACCGGGGTGACAGCAGCAGCCCAGGACTCCGGGAGCTATTTAAAGGGCTGGGGCGGTAGAAGCAGGGGAGCTCTGGGCTCTTTAAATAGCCACCGTAGCCCTGCAGCCGCTACCCCAGGGCTCCAGCAGCGGGGCTCTGGAGGCAATTTAATTGCCCCCGGGGAAGCCGGGCTGCCCCAATATGGTGCACTGGCTCTTGCCGGTACGCGTACCGGGGCATACCAGCTACTTTCACCTCTGCTCGAGCCCCTAACAGGTGGGCCAGGGCCCTGCTACCTAGTCCCACTTTCTAACGTACTGTAGCAAGATCTGACTCTGCTGGGGACAAGACTCCTTATGGTCCCCCCCACACACACACACCCCAGCATGCTCAAGAGCGAAGCACAGGCCAGGACCAAGTCCTTTCTGCATGCTCAGCCAC